GAATTTCTTACCCAAATTCCTGAGTCCTGGAGAAGGAGGGGTCTTTCCTTGCGCGTGGTTTCAGCCCCATTGTCTCCCTCACGTGGTTACCCGCATAGATCTCATTGGATATTCTAATGCTACCTGGCCGCAGGACTGGTACAGTAGTGCACCGCATGCGAACGTAGTTACTGAGGTTTTTTGTTTGCTTTTACACACAGACTGAGCCCTAAGCCGTCTGGCAAGGGTTAACAACGTTGCTCTGCACAAGCAGAGCCTGAAGTGGTTACATGGAGCACACAGGGACCACGTGGGAGCACTCTCGGGCCAGCAGACAGCCCATTCCAGTCTCGGGACAGAGTCTTCCCTGTTCTCCCTCCGACCTCCGGGAGGCCTCACCACAACGGTAATCACGCGGTGAGAAACTCGGTTAACAGAGAGGCAGAGGCCTCTGCACAGGGCGACCGTCCCATCCACGTCACTTCCGGAAGACATTTGTGTTTTAACGCAAATAGACGTCTCCAAACCTGTGGTTTTTCTAACGCTGGCCTCCCTCGGCATCTCCTCGCATCTGCAACCCGAGACTGGCAAGTTCGTAAGGCGAGGTAAGCCGAGGGCAGCTGCTCGGGCTGCACCCGCGGGCCCTCCCCAGGCGCCCCGCAGATGGCCGCAGGCCGGTGGGAGCCCCGAGACTGACCGGCCCGGCTTCCCTGGCCGTCAGGGCCAGGGCCCGGTTCCGGCCAGCTGGGACCCCGCAGTCGCCCCAGGCCCCGGAGCCTGCAGACGTGGCCGAGCGCGCCGGACAGCCTTCCGAGGGCCCTGGCGAGCCTGCCGCCTCCACAGCGTCCCCGGCCCCTCGGCCGCGCGAGCTGCAGCCATCAGCAGCTGGGACGCCTGGCCCAGGGCGGTGGGGCAGCCACAGCCCGTCCGGGGCCCCAGCCGACCCGACCCACAGGAACCTTGGAGAATGACTTGCACCGTGCATATCCTCAAGGTGGCGAGAGCTCGCCACAAGTTTTAGACAGGACTTTGAAAAGGGCAGCCGATGGGGTTCCCCAAGCGAGCGTTCTCCCTGAACGAAGATGGACAGCGGTGGTGACTCAGCGTTGGAAGGCAACCGCCTTTTGCGTGTGCCTCACACATCTTTCGGTCAGGGCGCAGGGCTCCAACGAACTCCAGCACAGCGGGCGTAACGCAGGCAGTTCCAGGCCGGGAAGAGGGCCTCTGCTCAGGCCACACTCGGGGAGAGACTGCGGAACCCGGCGGCCCAGGGTGCGGCCATCAGAGCCTGGACCACGAAACTGGGGCTGCACCGCCCCCTGGAGGCTCTGGGGCTGAACTGCCGCAGGTGTCTGCTGCCCCGACGTCTGGGCCCTGGGGACCCTGCGCAGAAAACCACCCCGCCCCTGCCAGGCTTGGCGGCAGAAGCGCAGCCCTTGTGACCTTCCCACGTTCACATTTAACAAATATTTTGTGGGCCGGCGTTGGGTGCGATGGCTTAGGCAGCTGCTTGCGTCCTGGATGCCCCACTTCCCAACCAGCTGCCTGCTAATGCACCTGGGAACGCAGGGGATGATGGCCCAGAGCGTGGGGCCCCTCCCACTGACGTGGAAGACCCGGACGGAGTTCTGGGCTCCTGGCCCAGCCCCAGCTGTGTGGTCATTTGGAGAATGAAAACTAGCAGATGGACCATCTCTTTCCATCACTCTGCCTTTCAAATGAATAAAATCAAATAAATCTTTAAGGGGCCCAGGCACCGGAGCCATTACCTGCCACCTCCCAGGATGCACACTGGCAAGAAGCTGGGCGAGTCTGATGTGGGAGGCGGGCACCTTGAGCAGCGTCATACCCACTTGGCCAAATGCTCGTCCCCCCTGCACCCCGCCTTCACACTACCGCACGGGGAGCCAGCTTGGCGCGAGCCTGGTCACTTGCAGAACCAGCACGAGTCAAGCCTGGGAGTGCGTCACTGGCTTTCTGTCCTGCAGAGTTCACGGCGGGAGGCACACCAGAGCTGAGCGTGCACAGCCTGGTTTTCTGCCCCAGGGGCTTCGCGTGGGGCCAGGAGAGGTGACGCCTCACTCCCTGCTGGGCGGGCCGTGCTCAGACGCCTCCTTTCGGTCAGTGACTTGGCAACGTGTAGAAGAGCTCATCACGTTTGACTAAGGAATTTTACTTCATGAAATCCATCATAAAGAAGCAGAGTTGTGGGGCCGGCACTGTGGCGTAGCGGGTAAAGCTGCTGCCTGCAGTGCCGGCATCCCATATGGGCACCGGTTCCAGCTGCTCCCATCCAGCTTTCTGCTATGGCCTGGGAAAGCAGTAGAAGATGGCCCTGCACCCACGTGGGAGACCTGGAAGAAGCTCCTGGCTCCTGGCTTCAGATCAGCGCAGCTCCGGCCGTTGTGGCCAACTGGGGAGTGCACCAGCGGATGGAAGACATTTCTCTCTCTCCTTCTCTCTGTCGGAAACTCTGCCTCTCAAATAAATAAATCTTAAAAAAAAACAGATGTTCATACATTACTTCCATCTCCATAAACTACATGAAGTAAAACCCTAATTACATTAAAATTGAAATATTGAGAAGAGAAAAAATTACCCTCAGTTCTGCTACCTTAACACAACTGAACACTGACACACGTTTTGCCCCAGTCTGGCATTTTTCGATACGTATGCTGTATAAAACGTATGAGAAAGCTTAGAAGGAAGTGTGTGGTGACAGCCACAGGAGCTGGTTGATCTGGGCTCACTGTTGGCCAGGCACAGCAGCAAACCCAACACATGCATTGTGCCATTTAATCCTCACAACGTCTCCCTCGGCGTCACGGCCGTTATCCTCATATTATGGAAGAGGAAGCAAACCCAAGACGGAGTCACCTGCTCCGGTCACACAGCTAACATTAACCGAGAGTGTGAGGCAAAGGGGGGCGAGAGGCAGAAAGGCAAGAAGCCCCTGAGAATCCTAGGCTCCCCAGCTCGAGCTGGATCGAGTGCCAAGTGTCCCGGGCAGCTTATCTAGCAACGCGGCACTCACAGGAGCCCAGGCCTCCAGGGACCAGGAAAGCGCCCGGGGGCTGTCCGAGCGGGATCCGTGAATGATGGAAGGGAACCCTTCTTCCACATCTTGGGGGTGGGGTGTACACTGCAAGCAGGAGGAGCCCCCACACTCTGCCCTTTCTACTTCCCGCGCTGCCCTAAGTCGGCTTCTCGGAGTTTCTTTAAGGAAACTTAAACTCCCTCCCCACTGTGTCTCTACACTGGTCTGCCCTTTCGGCACCTCCCCCTTGAGGCCGGTCCCGTGCTGGTGCCCCAGGGAACAGGGCTGTGTGCCTGCTCACACTGGCACACGGTTCAGATCTGAGCGCAGCCCCTGGCGAGCTGGGTCACTTTTTTTCCAGGAGTTACTGATGCGTTCTCCACGCCCCCTTTCCTCTTTGTCTTTCTGGAAACTACACCTACACAATGAAGCCCACACTTCCTAGCCACTGGTCACCGAGGATCATGAGGGGTCCCTTGGTAGCTAGGACTCACGCTGCTCCTCTTCCGATCCAGCTCTCTGCTAAGGGCCTGGGACAGCTGTGGAAGAGGGCCCAGGTGCTTGGGCCCCTGCACCCAAGCGGGAGACCTGGAAGAAGCCTCTGGTTCCTGGCTTTGGATCAGCCCACCTCCTCTTCCAATCCTTGCTAAATTTTTTTCTCCTGAAAAACATCAACTCTGGTATAAAATGAAATTATTGTGTATCTTCCTTTCTTTAGAAAATAGCTATCTGGGGGTTGGTGTTGAGGCGCAGTGGGTTAAGCTGCTGTCTGCAGCGTTGTCATTATTAGAGTGCCTGTTCAAGTCCTGGCTGCTCTACTGCCCATGCAACGCCCTGCTAACGTGCCAGGGAGAGCAGAGGAAGACGGCCCAACTGCTTGGGTGCCGGCCAGCCATGTGGGAGGCCCGGATAGAGCTCCAGGCTCCTGACTTTGACCTGCACTGCTCCCAGCCATTGTGGCCGTTTGGGGAATAAGCCAGCAGGTGGAAGATCTCTCTCTGCCTCTTCTGTCTCTCTTGCTCTGCCTTTCAATAAACACTTTAAAAAAAGAAAATAGCTATTTTAAGATTAGGATTTTGAGGGGGGAAGGACCTAGTTCTCACTACTCTGATTCTGAAACACACGCATGTGTGACACACATTTCCTGCTGGCCATGTGTCTGGAGAACCCTAAGGCTGACAGTTTCGCCAGTTCCCTACAAGTCGCCGCCCCGACTCCCACCTGAGGGCCTTACTCTCAGATTCTCCTCTGTTGGAGTCTCCTTCCCCAGTGGTCAGCCCTGTTAGCAAGATTCTGCAACTTCGCTTCTTTGCCGGGGGTACCACCGACCTAGAGAGAGGCCACAAGCCGAGTGCGCCCCGCCTTCCTCGGACCCCTCCAGGCACCCACCCGCCAGGCCTGGGGTCTACGCCGCCTCCCGTTCTGCGGGATATAACGTCAAGTCTCCCCAAGAAACAAGGCCAGCTCTGTCCCGTGGTGGTGCCACGGGAGAGGCGGGGGCCAGGGTGCTTGGACAGCCCCCCCGCCGCCGTCCTCGGGCAACCCAAGGTCAGCAGAGCCTGCGGGCCCTGTGACACCCGCATCTACCGTGAAACCGGCCAGTTCAGTAAAGCGATTAAGGCGAGAGCTCCGGAGTCGGCAGACGCGGCTCAATCTGCAGTGCGCAACAGGCGAGGTGCAACACAACTGCAGGAAATGGCGCCTCCCACACCCCCGGCGGCTGGGTTGCGAACACGCGTGCAAGAACGAGCCGCAGACAGAGAATACAAGAAACCTTGGGTTTCAGAGCGTGAGCTGGCGCAAGCAGCTTCGGTGCAGCACACGGGACTAGGCGGGGCCTGCCGGACCCCAAGCGTAGAAGCAGCACCGCGCGGAGAAGCGGAGATTCACCCGCCTCCGCACACTTCCGCACCGCACTGCGGCGGTCCGCCGGTAGCCAATCAGACAGCAGCATTTGGCACGGGGGCAGGACTTCCTGCCGCGGCGCTCACGTGAACACGAGTGCAGGCCCCGCCCCGGAACTGCGGTCTACGCTGCAGCTGAGAGACTCGGGGACGGCGTGTGCTGCTTCCGAAAGGGTTGAGGGACGCTGTTGTCTCCACACGGTGAGCACCGCACCTGGGCAGGCCTGGGACGGGCTCCGGAGAGGGGCTGAGGGCGGGACCCGGGCTCCCGTTGCCCGCCTCTCCAGTCCGCCGTGCTGCCCGGGTCCAGGGAGAGCGGCAGACCCCGGCGCGCGGGCGTGCTGCGTGCGGGTCCCCGCGCCTGGGCTTCTCGCCGGGGCCCGAGAGGACGGGAGAATGCAGATGCGTCTGTCTGGGCGCCCGAGGGGGACCCTGCCCGCCGCCGGGGGTCGCGGCGGGGACGGCGGGCGCGCGCGGCGCGGTTTTTGGCGTGCGTCACCTTTTCGCGGCGGCGCGAGGAGCCGGGGAGGCGCGCACCCTCCTCCTCCTCCTCTCCCTCCCCGGTCCGCCGCCGATCCGGAGCTGGGCCCGTGCGATTCCCACAGAACCTGCTGGCTTTGGGGACCGAACCGGAGAGGGGGGACATGGGTCGTGCGCCCCCGGGCTGGCAGCGGGGCAAAGCTTGGGAAGGGAGCAGCGCAGTGCCTGTTTAATAGAGGTCGCCACCCCCCATAAAAACCACCCTCGGCAGTTATCTGCATACAGTTTAGGTGTTAGTGAGCCTCCCCCACTTACAGAGGAGGACCCAGTTCACACAGCCAGCATCACGCCCAGTACGCGTGGATCTGGGATCCAGACCGGTCCTGGCTCCCGCCGGTTCCATTTCGCGCCCCTCCCTCCTGGCCTTGCCCCCCGGCCCGCCGGTGTCTCCCCGCTTGGATTTCTGCATCTGGGAGCAAATGTGTTACAGCGGTGTTGGGGCCTCCGTTCTTTTCAGATACTTGATGCGTTTCTTAAAAATCACCTGTTGCCTCAGAATCTTGTATTTTCCAGTCATCAGCCTAATAGAACATTTCTCTCTCTTTTTTTTTTTTTCCAGGCACCATGAAGTTGAAAAAGTCGAGACCAAAGTCATCAAGCTATGGCAGATTTCAGACAAAGGGGATCAAAGTGGTGGGGAAGTGGAAGCAGGTGAAGATTGACCCCAGTATGTTTGCAGATGGACAGATGTCTGACTTGGTGTGCTTTGAGGAGCTGACAGATTACCGGTTGGTCTCGCCTGCCAAGAATCCCACCAGTCTCTTCTCAAAGGAGGAGCCCAAGAAGAGAAAGGTGCGGGCTGGCTCGGAAGAGGAGGGAGGCGAGTCGAGCTCCCCAAAGAAAAGGGTCAAGCTGAAGAAGAGTGGAGATGTCGTGACTGAGGGAACCAGTACTCAGAACGAGGCCGACGTCAGCAGTGCTGAGCCCGAGTCCCAGGCAGATGGTGCCGCGTGCCCTGGCCCAGAGGGAGGGGAGATGGCCTCAGAGAGCCTTCCCCACACTGTTCCAAAAAAGAAGAAAAAGAAAGGGAACAAAAAATTGGAGGCCTCCCAGAGCACTCCCCCGAAGGTGCCCAAAAAAGCGAAGACGTGGCTGCCTGAAGTCCGTGACCAGCAGGCAGACGTGTCCGCCTGGAAGGACCTGTTTGTACCCACGCCAGTTCTCCGGGCGCTCAGCTTCCTGGGCTTCTCTGCGCCCACCCCCATTCAAGCGCTGACCTTGGCGCCTGCCATCCGTGACAAACTTGACATCCTCGGGGCTGCTGAGACAGGTAAGGGCGGCTCTGGCCAGCACAGGATTGCTTCTGGAGTGAGCCCATGGCTCCAGTAGGCTGGAGGATCACAGAGGTAGGGGTGTTGAGAACATAACCACAGAAGAATTGGTGGGAGGGGCCACGTGATGGTCAGGTACTTTGAGTGCCTACCCCCCTCATAGGAGACCCGGATAGAGTTCCTGGCTGCTGGCTTCAGCCTGGTCCAACAAGTTGTGGGCATTTGGGAGAAAAACGGTGATGAAAGTGTCTGTCTCTCTCGCTCTGCCTTTCAAATCAGAATGAATGAACATTTTCAGAGTGAGCTCTGTGTTGAAATCTGACCTCCTGATTGGTGCTTTAGCCGGGTGACTTTATTTCTGTGAGTGCTGTAGGCCCCGTCATAACACGGGAGTAACAGCAGTGTCCGCATCTTGCAGGGGTAGACGCTGCTAGGGAACCTTGTAACCCATCTGCAGGTGGCCGGTTTTCCTGTTGGGCTCCTTTGATAGCTCAGCAGGGGTAAAGCAGGGCTGAGGTCAGCCCTCTGGGGAGGCTGATGCTCCTCTTCATTGTTCAAAGGAAGAACTGATTTGTTTTATTAAAGAATTTATTTATTTGAGAGGCAGAGTTACAGAGAGGAAGAGACAGAGAGAGGGCTTCCATCCACTGGGTTCACTCCCCAAATGGCCGCAATGGCCAGAGCTGAGCCGATACGAAGCCAGGAGTTTCCTCTATGTCTCCCACACAGGCGCAGGGGCCCAAGCACCTGGGCCGTCTTCTGCTGCTTTCCCAGGCCATGGCAGAGAGCTGGATTGGAAGAGGAGCAGCCGGGACATGAACCGGCAGCCGTATGGGATGCTAGCACTACAGGTGGAGATCTGAACCACTACTTCACGGTGCTGGCCCTAAATCTTTTTAAATTTTTTTTTTCTTAACAGGCAGAGTTAGAGAGAGAGACAGAGGGAAAGGTCTTCCTTCCATTGGTTCACCCCCCAAATGGCTGCCACGGCCGCCGTGCTGCTCCGATCCGAAGCCAGGAGCTTCCTCCCGGTCTCCTATGCGGGTGCAGGGACCAAGGACTTGGGCCATCTTCCACTGTCTTCCCAGGCCACAGCAGAGATGCAGGTGGAGGATTAGCCTAGTGAGCCACAGCACTGGCCTAATTTTTTTTTTTTTTTTTAAGATTTATTTATTTATTTGAAAGAGTTACAGAGAGAGAGCAGGGAGAGACATCTTTTATCCACTGGTTCACTCTGCAGATGGCCACAATGTCTGGGACTGGGCTAGGCCAAAGCCAGGGGCTTCTTCCAGGTCTCTCACATGGGTGGCAAGGGCCCAAGCACTTGGGTCATCTTCCACTGCTTTTCCCAGGCCATTATCAGGGAGCTGGATTGGAAGTGGAGAAGCCGGGACTTGAACCTGCGCCCATATGGGATGTGTGCCATGGCTTTACTTGCTGTACTACAATGCCATTCTCAATCTGATTCTTAAAGGGCTGCTATGGGAGTTGGTGAGGTCATTGGACGGGTTTGAGTGTGGTGAATAGCCACTGGGGGAATTTTGTTGCTAGATCCAGGTGTGAAGAGACTGTTAGACCCAGGCTGTGTTTAAAGCTCCCTCATTCCTTGAGCCGAGACTTTTGGGAGCAGAGACGTGTTGACTTGCTGGGTAGGCTGGACTCCTGGCTGGGGTTAGGAACTTGTGCCACCTGGGTCTGTTAGTGCAGCTAGACCCAACAGTATCTGATGGAAATACACATGAACCACATACGATTTTAAATTACCTGAGTGCCATGTTAAAAGAAAAAAAAACCACAGGTGAAAATTATTATTTTTTTTTTGACAGGCAGAATTAGACAGAGAGACAGAGAGAAAGGTCTTCCTTCCGTTGGTTCACCCCCCAAGTGGCCGCTACGGCTGGCGTACCGTGCCGATCCAAAGCTGGGAGTCAGGTGCTTCCAGGGTGCAGGGCCCAAGCACTTGGGCCATCCTCCACTGCCTTCTCAGGCCACAGCAGAGAGCTGGACTGGAAGAGGAGCAACCGGGACAGAACCAGCACCCCAACCGGGACTAGAACCCGGGGTGCCGGTGCCGCAGGTGGAGGATTAGCCTAGTGAGCCGCGGCGCTGGCCGAAAATTAATTTTAACAACATATTTATTTAACCAGTTATATAAAGTTAATCATTTCAGTATGATCATCTCAATATGTAACTCATTTGAGACTATTGGGATAGTTTACCTTCTTGTTTTTGTCCTAAATTTTCAAAATCTGGTGTGTGTTTTACACTTGCACATGTCAGTGTAGGGTTACTATGTTCTAGGTGTTATGGCTGCTTGTTTTTAGTGGCTACTGTATTGTGCAGTACAGGACTTGACTCTGTAGTCGCTTAGGACCTTGGGATTGGAAGCCTGGGATGAGGTCCCGTGTGAGAGTCCTGTCGATGGGAGAGTGAGGGAGCGCCAGGAGAAGGGAGTGGAGAGAGCCGTGAAGCTTACTTAGAGCATCCACTGAGCCTTGCGGTGTGCCCTGTCCCAGGAAGTGCTTCACGTGGGTGACGTCAGCTCTGAGTTCCCTGGGCAGGCACCGGTACTCCTGTTTATCAGAGGGGGAAACGCTGCCCCAGTGGTACCGAGCTGACTGCGGTGGTGCCTGGACCCTAGGGTCATCTGCCAGAGCCCTGGAAGCAGGTCCCTGGGGGGCAGAGGCAGGGTCTGTGAGCCGCTGGTACCAGAGCCTGGCAGCTGCGTTCATGCCACGGCTCCTGTCAGGATGTCCCCCGGGAGCCTGTGAATCTGGCGGACAAGGATTCAGAAGTCTTGGGACCATGCGTTTGGGAAGTAGACCAGCCACGCTCGTGTGCTAAGGAACGTAGCCGGTACTCCCAAAGATAGCTGGGGCTCCTGCGTAATCCTTCCGTCCCTAAAACGTCCTCTGTCCTCCCTAGAAAGGCACGGGTAGATTTTCTATCACTTGGGTTGTGTTTCTAGGATTTTATGTAATAGACTGATACTTCACATGCGTTGGTGTAGTTTGAGATTGTCATGTTATTGCATATAGCAATACTGTGTTACAGAGAGGGCTCGCTCCCCAGATGGCTGCATCGGCTGGAGCTGAGCTAGGTGGAAGCCAGGAGCTTCCTCCCGATCTCCCAAGCACGTGGGCCGTCTTCCGCAGCTTTTCCCAGGCTCTTAGCCGGGAGCTGGGTCGGATGCAGAGCTGCCAGAACTTGAACTGGTGCCCATAGGGAAGCCAGCGTCACAGGAGCGACTTAACTCCCACGCCACAGCGCCGGCCCTGAAAGATCTTTGTATAGCATTGGGCTTTTTTCCTTCCTTAAATGTTTGGTAGAGTAAATAGGGCCTATACTTTGTTTTGTAGGGAGGTTTTTAACTATAAATTTAGTTTTCAAAATATATTAGGGATGTTTGTATTATTTACTCATATGCTTGGAATTCTTTTGTTTTTTTTTGTTATTTTTGGCAGCAAAATAAATTTAAAATTCCATTTTACATGAACTTTTTCATGTACCCTTGTATTTTTTCTCAAGTGATAGTTTTCTACTTGCAAGTATATTCGTTCCTGTGCATTTTTTAGTAAATTAAAATGTGGAGTACTAGTATATCCTAAATTAATTAGCTGCTTTTCATTATTAAGTGGCCGCCATGTTGATAGCTGCATTAAATGTGTCTTGGACTTAGGATATTGGTAGTTTATAATAGGTTTATTAGGTCATAACCCATTCGCGGTCTTGTTTGAAAATATTCACACATAGACAAATTTTTCACACATATTTAAATTTTCTGAAAGAATTTTCTTATATTGTCTTAGTCCTCATTGAAGAAAGATCTTGGGAAAGTGTTATGTAGATTTCCGTCTCCCACCATTCAGTGTGTTTCTTCATGGCAACAAAACACAAGACTTTCCTTGGGGCCAGCGCCGTGGCTCACTTAGTTAATCCTCCGCCTGCGGTGCTGACATCCCATGTGGGCACCGGGTTCTTGTCCCCAGTTGCTCCTCTTCCAGTCCAGCTCTCTGCTGTGTTCCGGGAGTGCAGTAGAGGATGGTCCAAGTGCTTGGGCTCCTGCACCTGCATCGGAGACCAGGAAGAAGCGCCTGGCTCCTGGCTTCAGATTGGTGCAGCGCCAGCCGTGGCGGCCATTTGGGGAGTGAACCAACAGAAGTAAGACCTTTCTCTCTCTCTGTCTCTCACTGTCTGTAACTCTACCTGTCAAATAAAAAAAAAAAAAAAAAAAAAAAGACTTTCCCTTTGTCTTTTTGATTTCATTGCTTAGACATTTTTAAAAAATATTTATTTATTTATTTGAAAGGTAGTTAAAGAGAGAAGGGAGAGGGAGAGAGAGAGAGGCAGAGAGTTATCGTCCATCCTCTGGTTCCCTCCGTCAGGGCTGGGCCAGGCTGAAGCCAGGAGCCTGGCTCTTCCTGGACTCTCACATGGGCGGCTGGGGCCTGCTGCTTTCCTAGGCACAGTAGCAGGGAGCTGGGACTTTCCCAGCACCCACTTGGGATGTGCTTAACCTGCCTGCACCACAGTGCCAACCCCAGAAATTCAGATTTTTTTTTAAGATTTATTTATTTTATTTGAAGATCAGAGAGAGAGGTCTTCTGTCCGCTGGTTCACAACCCAAATGGCCACTGCCACCAGAGCTGAGCCAGGCTGAAGCCAGGAGCTTCCTGTGTGTTTCCCACACGAGCGGCAAGGGCCCCAGCACTTGAGCCATCTTCTGTCACTTTTCCCAGGCCATTAGCAGGGAGAAGGATCAGAAGTGGGCAGCTGGGACACAAACCGGTGGTGCCCATATGGGATGCTGTCGTCATAGGCAGTGGCTTAGCCTGCTGTGCCACAGCGCCGGCCCCTCGCTTGGAAATTGAGAGTTATCACTGGTGACGTCGGGTCTCAGTGCCAGTCTCAGACTCTTCCTGCAGCTGCTGATTACAGCTGCCTTCTGGTTACATCGCTGTTGGGGAACTTGGGCAAAGTGGAGGAGTTCTGGGTTGGTGGAGGTGGTGCTTAGTTATTTCAGGGTCCCTTATTCTGTGCAGAAGAGAGAATTTCAGACAGAAGCACTGTGCGTCTGTTGATTGACACTGTGTTTTGTTTGTTTTACAGGAAGTGGGAAAACTCTCGCCTTTGCCATCCCCATGATTCACGCTGTGCTGCAGTGGCAGAAGGGGAAGCCCAGCCCTGTTTCAGGGAACGCTGGAATGCCACCCGGGGAGAGCAGGACCAAGGTTGGAACCGAGACTGGCTCACCAAGCAAGTCGGCAGCTGAGTCTGGCGTGTCACCTGGCGGGACTGGAATCGAGAGTGAAGAAGTGCCTCCCGGTGAGGCTGGGTCCACCGTCTCAGCCCAGGCCCTGCCGCTCTGTGGCGAGGGTGATGCTGGTGAAGGGCCTTCCTCCCTGACCCAGGAGAATGCCGTCTGCACACAGAGTGAGGATGAAGAGGAAGGGCTCAGTGAAGAGCCAAGCGGAAAGGCCGAGCAAGAGTCGGAGGGCGGAGCTGCGGCCTGGGAGGCCCCTCCCGCGCGCCCCCTGCTCGGCCTGGTTCTGACGCCCACCCGCGAGCTGGCCGTTCAGGTCAAGCAGCACATCGACGCCGTGGCCAGGTTTACAGGTGAGGTTTGCCTTCACGCGGTGAACGCGTCCTGCCTGGCGCCTAAATGCTCGTGGTAAAGAAGCGGTGGCTCCCGCCCTCGGAGGAAGCTGCTTCTCGTGTGCCTGAGCAGCAAGCCCTACGGAAAACCAGGTGGCGGTGTCTCGGCTCTCTTTGCTGGTGCCGTGTTAGACTCAGGGACGTTAATTAGTCTGTTGGATACGGTGGATGGTTAGGGCACCCATCTGGGTACACACTGCCTGTGGCTGCTTTTGTATTGCAAAGGCCAAGTTGAGTAGAGATAGTGGTTGTGACTTGGACTGTCTGGCCCACAGGAGTAACATTTACTAGTGACTCTTTTTTTTAAAAATTTATTTATTTGAAAGAGTTACACAAAAAGAAGGAGAGGCGGGGTGGGGGGGTCTTCCATCCACTGGTTCACTCCCCAGTTGGCCGCAACAGCCAGAGCTGTGCTGCTCAGGAGCCAGGAGCCTCCTCCAGGTCTCCCATGGGGTGCAGCGGCCCAAGCACTTGGGCCATCCTCCACTGCACTCCCAGGCCACAGCAGAGAGCTGGCCTGGAAGAGGAGCAGCCGGGACTAGAACTGGCGCCCATATGGGATGCCGCCGCCACAGGCGCCCTACCCAGTACGCCGCAGCGCTGGTCCCACTAGTGACTCTTACGAACAAGTCTTAATTCTCCCTGGGAATTCTTTTCAGGAAGGGCTGCACAGTGGGAATTATAGTGTGTGCGAGGCGCTTAGCGGGGCACTTTCCCTGATCCTGCTGTTCTTCCCTGCACTGGGGGCCGTGAGAAGTCTTCCACCCGCGGAGGCATTAGAGGAGCTTCGGATTAACTGTGAGTGAGGAGGGGGAGGCCCCCGGGAGAGGCATGTCACAGCTGCAGGTAATGTCCTCCAGTGTCATTGTCTGCCACCACTCTGTTTGCCCTGGGCTTTGGGCGTCAGCGTGCCTGGGCTCAGAGGGCAGAGAGTAGGAAGAAGTGAGGTTGGAGAAATTGTCCGGGCCCTGGTTACAGAATATTTGGTATGCTCTGTAGGTGTGGCATCCATGGTCAGGCCACACCTGCTCTTACAGCACCCGTTGGCACCTGGATCTGTGCTGGTGACCATCTCTGCTAATCTGGGGCTACCTGTATTAGCTGTGTAAGAAAATAACTTGCCAAACTGAATGAGAGTCCCTATGATTTCTGTCCCACAGGAATTAAAACTGCTATTTTGGTTGGTGGAATGTCTACGCAGAAACAGCAGAGGATGCTGAACCGCCATCCAGAGATAGTGATCGCCACGCCAGGCAGGCTGTGGGAGCTGATCAAAGAAAGACACTCTCATTTGAGCAACCTTCGGCAGCTCAGGTGGGAAATGGTGCCCACCCACCCCTGGTCCTGCAGTGAGCCTGAGCTGGCATCGTGATGTGCGCAGTTTCTTCTGTCACGTAGTGCCGTGGGGCAGTGCGTTCAGTCCCTGGCCTTAAAGCCAAGTATGCGTCGGGGTGACTCGTCGAGGCCCTAGCGGTGGTGGTAGGGTATCTGCGTGTGTGTGGTTATGAGGGTGTGACTGGGCCGGGGGTCGAATGGGTCGAGTCCCTCTTACCTGCCGCTGACCAGCGGTGTGGGTCTGTCTGGATCTGCAGGTGCCTGGTACTGGACGAGGCTGACCGGATGGTGGAAAAGGGCCACTTCGCTGAGCTCTCACAGCTGCTGGAGATGCTCAATGACTCCCAGTACAACCCACAGAGGCAGACGCTTGTTTTCTCTGCCACACTGACCCTGGTGCATCAGCTGCCCGCCCGACTCCTTCATAAGAAGCACACCAAGAAAATGGACAAAACTGCCAAGCTCGACCTCCTCGTGCAGAAGGTCGGCATGAGGGGTAAGCCGAAGGTCATCGACCTCACAAGGAACGAGGCCACGGTGGAGACCCTGACGGAGACCAAGATCCACTGCGAGACCGAGGAGAAAGACTTGTACCTCTACTACTTCCTGATGCAGTACCCGGGCCGCAGCTTGGTGTTTGCCAACAGCATCTCCTGCATCAAACGGCTCTCCGGGCTCCTCAAGGTCCTGGACATCATGCCTCTGACGCTGCACGCCTGCATGCACCAGAAGCAGCGGCTCCGAAACCTGGAGCAGTTCGCCCGAATGGAAGAGTGAGTGAAGCCGCCCTCGGCCTGGCCTGCAGCGCCGTGCGGGGAGTGGCGGGAGGTCACCGCTGCTGCTGGGCCTTGTGAGAGCAGGCGGTCACCGCTGCTGTAGGGCCTTGTGAGAGCAGGCGGTCACCTCTGCTGCTGTAGGGCCTTGTGAGAGCAGGCGGTCACCTCTGCTGTAGGGCCTTGTGAGAGCAGGCGGCCCCCTTCTGCATGGCGTTCGGCAGGGTCACCGCGTTTAGCAGATTTGGATGCTGCTGATGTCCTCTGACGCTTTCGTAGCACTGAGTAACGGGGACAGTACCTAGTGTTGTTGACACTTCGTCCATTATGACCTAGGCCGGCACTTCAGAAACACCACGTCCCTCCACTCCCCCATCATCCAGGATAGATTTGTAGATAAGGGCACAAACTCTCGAACTGGGCTTCATGAGATCGAATCCTGACCCCACTGCTTCCTTGCTGGTCAAGTTGTTTGACTTCCGTGTGCTTGAGTTTGCTCATAGTGGGATAGTAATATATAGACTGCATAGCGTTAGGGTTAACGGATGCGTGGATGTGAAGAGTTGGCGGCAGCTCTGTAAGGCACACAGTGTGTGCTTGTGAGATGTTAGCTCTAGTAACTCCCGGCCCTCCTACTGCCACTATCACTATTCCCAAAAGCTCACCAGCTTGGCCAGGGTTTCTCTACCTCGAAGTGGCAGGTCTGAGCCTCTGGGAGGGCTGTCCAGCGCAGGGCCTGTGCTGTCTGAGTCCGTCCAGACCAGGTGATGCTCAGCAGGTAGGCTGCAGATGGCCAGGATGAAGGCCTGGGGGCTGAGGCATTTCCCCCACCTGAGTGCTTGTCAGGGCAGAGGGGGTTTTGTTTCTAGAACTAGTGTCACGTTTACCTGGCTTTGATTATTACGTGTGGTGGTTATGGGGATTGGCTTAGCGCAGGGCTTGACACACTAAAGCCCATGGCCAAGTCTTGCTTTCTCCCTGCTTTTATAATAAAGTTTTATTGGAATATGGCAAGACCCATAAATGTATCATCTAACCACTGTTCCACTGAAATGGCAGAGTTGAGTGGTTTCCACAGCAACTGTATTGCCCACAAAGCTGGAACTATTAACTATCTGACCCTTTACAGAAAAATTTGCTGACCTTGACTTAGAATAATAGTTAAATGTCTTATAGACTTTGACTTGCACCACATTCCCCATCCCTATGTCAGAAATAAGGGCGAGGAGGACCCTGAAGGACCAAGAATCAGGAAGTCTTAAGGCGTGCTGTAAGTGCTTCTGAGTCTGCTTGGACTGAGTGTTAAGGAGCGTCACGTACCTTTATCTGGTGCTTATCATGAGCTAGAGAGTGGTCTAGGTGTTGCTAACCTAAAGTGAGTAATGCAAAGTGCTTGTTCTCACAGAACTTAGTTTCTAGAGGAAGAAGAAATGTATCACAAAGTCTATAATATAGCAAGTGGCGTTGAGCGCTACCAAGTAAGCTGGGGCTTGTGATGGGGCGAGTGTGGCTGGCGAGGTGTCTGACGGGGAGATTTGAGCAGAGAGCTGAAGAAAGCAGGGAGAGGTGTCACGTGGAAATATGAGAGAAGAGCTTCAAGACCCAAGGATGAGCAAGTACAAAGGCTGGGGGGAGGGGCGGAGAGGAAGCCCAGGAGGTCCTCTGCCGCTGACCAGGGCTGACCAGGGCAGGAAGGGGAGGGTGCCCGGGTGGAGGTCACCTGCCCAGATCGTGTTTGGCCTCATTCAGTTCACCACAGGGGGTCCCTGTCATTGCAAAGTTGGTTGGATCCTTGATTACACAACCCAGCAGCCATGTAAGTACCTTGGGAAGTTGCTCTCGGAGGCTCAGTCTCTATCAACGAAAGGCAGATGATAGTGTTGTTGGTAAGACAGAGACTGAGTGCTGGTGAGGATCGTGGCGTTTATAGTGCTCACAGAGGTAAGAGTTTGGTTGTGATAGCTGTTAGAGTTATTAACGAGCTTTCTCTTCACCACAGCTGTGTTCTCTTGGCTACAGACGTGGCAGCTCGGGGTCTGGACATCCCTAAAGTGCAGCATGTCATCCACTACCAGGTAGGGGCGTCTGGGAATTCGTCAGCATCTTCCTGCTTCGGGATTCTAAAGCGAGGAGGAGGAAGAATTGTTGGGCCCAAGGCCCCTGCAGTTATTGTAGTACCTGCTTAGGATTCTTACCAGGATAAAAGAAGGTAACACATGCAGAGTTTAGGGAGCCACTGGCATGTAGTGAGCACTGGCTAAGTGTGCTGTGGATAGCAGTGAGAGTAGCCGTCTGCCTGACAAATACCAGCACAGCGTTGCGGCCGGCAGTGTCGGGTCCAGGCCTGGCCGCCCGGGTTGGACTCCCCGGTCTGCTGCTTCACAGTGGCATGCTCTTTGATCGGCACACGCGCGCGCGCGCACACACACGGGCGCACACACACGCCGTTTTCAGTTGTCAGTTTTCGTTGTCGCTTCAGTTGTCGTCATTGTTTCTAAACTGGAAGTGACACACTGCTTACCCAGCCAGGTTGTCATGAGAATTAAACTGAGCTGATGCTGAAGTGCCTGCCCCAGTGGAAGTACTCAGTAGGTCTTTGAGGGTGCCGATTTCAGTGTAGCAAATCTTTACTATTTTTTAGAGAAGGGGCTGGGTCAGCCTTTGTGGGAGAAATCAAGGTGAACCATATACAGGCCCAGCTCCTGAAAGTCCCAAGTCCCAGGGAGGCGGGGAGAGGACACAGCCGTTATGTAGGGGAGAAGGTGTTCGAAAGTTAGAGGATGCGGTGGGACAGAGAGAACTCCTGGTTTGGGAGGTTGGAACCTGCTTTCTAGAAGGTGCTTGGCATTTAAGGATGGAGAGGAGTTGGACACAAGGTGGGAAGGGAAGGAGGGAAGAGTCTAGGATGGGCAGTGTTCAGGGGCAGATGGCTTAGGGCGAGAAGAGGGTTGTACTGGGAGAGGAGTAGCTACAGAGGCCGGGGGTAGGCTGGGGGGCGGGTCCCTGAGGCCGAGTGTCGGATTCAGGAGCTGCGCCTTTATCCTGTATGTGAGGCGTGGCAAACAGGTCTCAGTCCCGTGTGACCCTCGTACATTGGAGGGCAGCAGGGGTCGCTCAGGGCTCAGCACGGTCCCTGCAGCCGGACTGGTTTTTTTTGTTTGTTTCTTGGCACCACCACTTCATTGGGTAACCTGGGGGGAGTTGTTAACCTCTCTGTTTTAGTTTCCTAGTCTATAAAACGTGGGTAATCTTATGAAGAATCGATTTCGTGTTTCTGTTGTGAGGAATAGGTGCATCCGTACCTGCAGAGAGCTTAGAGCTGTGTGGCCCGAGGTGGTCACTCCATAGATGCTGGTGTGATTAGCGCTGCCTGTCACTCAGAGTGAATGGAGAGCCGGTGGGATTGGTTTACTAGGGGGAGTGTCGTGCTCGAAGCCGAGACCCAGATAACACCGGCGGCTTTGGGCGGGGCAGGACGAGTGGGAAGGATAGAGACGGAGGAAGTGACTGCGGGGTCCACTGCGTGGGCACGGGGACCTGAATGGCTGAGCCGGGGACAGTCGGAGTGTAGGGCTAAAGGGGGAAGGCTGGACATGCAGAATCAGCGGCGGTTCCCACCTGCCTGGCCTGGGGGGCAGAGGGGCCGGTTGGGGATGCGGCCCTGAGGCCAGGGCCAGTGTGCCGCGAGCAGGGCTGACCTCCCGGGTCCTCCGCTGGCAGGTCCCTCGCACCTCGGAGATCTATGTCCACCGCAGTGGGCGGACCGCTCGTGCCACCAGTGAGGGCCTCAGCCTGCTGCTGATAGGACCCGAAGATGTGATCAACTTTAAGAAGATTTACAAAACCCTCAAGAAAGACGAAGACATCCCGCTGTTCCCTGTGCAGACCAAGTACATGGATGCCGTCAAGGTAAGGAGAAGTGGACCCCAGGGCTGCATGGAACCTGGTGCTCACGGGCCCACGTCGGGACACTGCAGTACAACAGCACCACCCCGGAACCAAGGGTGGCTCTGCCAGCAGCTCCGCGGGGCATTCATGGAAGGGACCGGACGTGCTGAGCCCTGGAGGAGGGACCAGAGCGGAGGCGTTTCCTCCCCGGACTGTCTCCTCACTGCCTGACCCTGACGTTTCCACCCCACCCCCACTGGACTGTGCGGTGTGCACAGCTGCCTGGGCCTCTCGTCAGGGCCGTGGGCAGTGAGGTGTCTGTGTCTCACTGAGATCCGTGCTGACGGGTTGGCACATCCCTGAAGCAGGTGCCGGCAAATCCTGACTTGCAGCCATTCTCTGAGTGAATGCCGCCTCCATGGACCACAGCATGTCCAGGCCCACAGCAGGGCAGGCCAGGCTCTCCCCAGCAGGTCCGTGTCCAGGCCCACAGCAGGGCAGGCTAGGCTCTCCCCAGCAGGTCCGTGTCCAGGAGCAGGCCAGACTGTACTGAGGTTCAGGTACAGAGGGAGCTGTGGGATGGAAGACCTGTGGGAAGACCGTGAGGCTCTGAAGCTGCTGCAGCTGAACTGGAGGGGCATAAAGGATCTGATTCCTGGAACTGGGGGAGGAGGAGCCTGGGACACTTGAGGCTGTTGACTCCTTTGGCTTGAAAGGAGTGTCGGCTGTGCCCGCGGGTCTGGTCAGTGTTGGCCGTGCCCGCGGGGCTGGTCAGTGTCGGCCGTGCCCGCGGGGCTGGTCAGTGTCGGCCGTGCCCGCGGGGCTGGCGGAGTTGCAGATGGAAAGGTGGAGGTCAGAGAGTTTCTGTGAGGAGCTAACCTGGCTTCCCGTGGTTCTTTTTCCTGTGACATAAGATCTCGTCTGTTTCTTTGGGGCATCCTGTTGCTGTGGTCTAACTCCAAATCCCACCAGCGGGGGAGTTGAAGTGTTCAGTCTGTCTCTGAGGTGGCAGCCAGCTGCAGCCTCTGTGGACAGTGTCGCTGGAGTCAGACCAGGTGGCCGTGTTGAAGGGAGCGCTGGCTCTTGGGAGTGTGCTTGTGCCCACACGTGTGTGGTGACCGCAGGAGCCAAGATCAATGCGTTTCGGTAGTTGCCGCGCGCGCCCCGGGGACTGTCGACCTCAGGAACTTCAGCAGCAGCTCGGGGAGACTGCTTACAGAGGCCGACCGCTGTGAGGTGAGGACTCCGTCTCTCCCCAGGAGCGGATCCGTCTAGCTCGCCAGATTGAGAAAGCTGAGTATCGGAACTTCCAGGCTTGTCTGCACAACTCCTGGATCGAGCAGGCGGCAGCCGCCCTGGAGATCGAGCTGGAAGAAGACATGTATAAGGGTGAGCCTTGGGCTGGGGGCACTTGAAGGCTCGGCGCCTGGTGTGTGAAATGCAGATGGTGGGCTGGCTGTGACGGCGGATTCAGCTGGGCCTGGCGTGTAGGAAGTCTTGGTGCAGCTGAAGTTACTTGTTGTCATGGTTGCTGCTGCACCTGCCTCCCGTGCTGTCGTCCAGTTGTCTGCAGTGTCCATCTGGACGGCGCCTGCGGGTGTTAACACTCTGTAAGGAGCGAGAGGCTCACAGCTACAGCTGTGAAGGGGTCGGTGCCGGCAGGAGCTTCACGGCCTCCATTTCCTGAGCCCTGCTGGGTCCCAGGCTCAAAAGCTAAGGATTCGGCAGTGGATTGCACAGCCCCCGCTTAGGAGAGGTCCTGGGCCCAAGGGCTGACCAGCTACCCCGGTGAGGCGCAGCGCCCCTCCACCCTGCCGAGTGTGCAGCCTGGCGTGCCGTGTGCGACTCAGCGCCACAGTTGAGACTTCACTGCTCTCTGCTCACGTGGAAGCCGGGAGCCAAACGAGCGGGCAGGTCCTCCTGGGAGCGCCAGTGTGGGCCGTAGGTCGAGCCCTCTGGCTGGGCCCACAGACCGGCGGTGAGGTACAGGAAGAGAGCGGGGCGGAAAGACTGGTGTTGCCTTCCGGGGGTCTGTAGCTGGGGAGTCTCCACACCCCCGGTGAGGGGCAAGTGTGGGAGTCTTCTAGGGAGAAAACTGAGCGCCAGTGGGGAGACCTGGATTCTGATCTCAGTCTAGTTCTGTGGCCTTGGGCAAGCCTGAGGTGCCTTGTCTGTAAATGACAATCTGCTGCCTTCAGGGGTTTCCGTGAGGAGTGAAGGAGGGTGGGCCTGTGCTTCCCCTGAGTGACTGAACCACTGCTGGCCTCTGCAGAGAACTGAACCTGCCTGCCTGCGGTAGTTCTAAAACAGGTTTTTTCTTTTTCTATTTTTTTTTTTTTTAAGATTTATTTTATTTATTTGAAAGACAGAGTTACAGAGAGAGGTAGAGAGAGATCTTCCATCCACTGGTTCACTCCCCAGATGGCCGCAGTGGCTGGAGCTGTGCTGATCTGAAGCCAGGAGCTGCTTCCAGGTCTCCCACACGGATGCAGGGACCCAAGGGCTTGAGCCATCCTCCACTGCTTTCCCAGGCCACAGCAGAGAGCTGGATCAGAAGTGGAGCTGCCGGGACTTGAACTGGCGCCCATATGGGATGCTGGCGCTGCAGGCCAAGGCTTTAACCCACTGTGCCACAGCGCTGGCCCCCTAAAACAGTTTTGCTTGAATTACCCGTTGAGGGAAACCAGATAATTCTGTAAACAGTAAATGTGCTCTTTTTGCATTGGGTCTCCAGGGGGAAAAGCTGACCAGCAGGAGGAGCGGCGGCGGCAGAAGCAGATGAAGATCCTGAAGAAGGAGCTGCGCCACCTGCTGTCCCAGCCGCTGTTCAAGGAGGACCTGAAAACCAGGTACCCCACGCAGTCCGGCAAGCTGCCCCTCGCCGTGGCCGCCCCGAGCAGGGGCGAGTCTGCCTTGAGCTGCCTCTCCAGACAGAAGAGGAAGAAGAAGAAGCCAAAGGAGCAGCAGCAGGGGCGGCCGCAGCCGAGTCCGAGCGCGCAGTAGCTGCCCGGCCCGCGCGGTCTCAGTGCTGTCGTGAGTCGTCCCTCCCCGCGTCCGCTCGGCCGTGCTGCCACACCGCCCCCAGCAGACCTGCAGGCGCGTGTCGTGGGGTGCGTCCCTGCAGCAGCTTCACGTTTCTGTGCTCCTGTGCTCACAGGCTTTTCGTGTGTTCAGCGCGATTCCCCGAATTAAAAACAGCAGTGAGAACCAGAGAACCAGTGTCGTCTGCTTTGGTTTGTTGTTTTTTGTTTTTTGTTTTTTTTTTTTTGCCAGAAGATGGATGTGGTGGTACGCTCTGTTTCACCGCCAACTTAGTGATTCCCCTGGGCCCGCACAGTGCTAGGCCCTCGGTAGGGCGGGTGGGAACCGTCCCAGGGCCCTGCTTCGGGCTGCTCTTGGGGTGTGACTAGAACAGCAGGTGATTGTGGCACGTGGCTCTCGGGCCCCAGGCTGTCCTGCTCTTCCCGCAGCAGCACTTCAGCGGCGCCGTGCCCGCCCCCCTCTCTCGGCTGATGTCTGAGACCCTGAGAGTCACCCAGCTGGGGGTGGACGCGAGGCTCTGGCCCAGGCTTCCCTCGCGGCACAGAGCTGACAGAGCCCGCCGCGGCGCCTCCTCTCCACTGCCCGCCTCTGACACAGGGCACCCCTTCCGCTGACGTTTGTGCAGAACGAACTTTGCCTTTTGCCCTCTGCATCCTGGAACTGCTGCGTGTCCTCCGGTGGGGCTGGGGGCTGCTCCTGCTTGCTTCCCCCACCCCCATGGCACCTGTCACTCTGCGTTCTCTGGTGGAGCTCCTTGGGCACAGAGGCTCTCCAGGCCTAGGGCGAGCGTTGAATGAGTGGCGTCCTGGGGCTGCCCCAGCCACAGGGACACCACATTCCTGCACAGCTCAGTGAGGCTCCCGAACAGCCGGTCACTGGAGTCCATGTGCTGCTTGGATTTAAGGGGTTCCGTGGATTTGAAGAGAGTGCAGTGGAGCCAGGTGCTCTGAGAGCCAAGTACAGCCGCCTTCAGCCTCACGGTGGGCAAAGACGGAAGGGCGGCGGCAGGACCCCTGAGCCCCTGTGCTAAGGGCCACAGGCCTCCTGGTGCCACTGTTAACCAAACGAGCAGCACTGGTAACCATTTTTGTCCCTTCCAGCTCTTCTGTCTTCTGCAAGGCCACCATGTTAGTCTTACTGTCCTTTCTTTGTGACTAAGGAAGCAAGCACTGGTTAAGACAGGCTCACGGTAGCCAGCTAGCACGGCTGGGATTAGAACTCAGTGGATCTTCCTTCTGGAAGACCTAGGGCAAGTTCAGAAAACAGTGTCCCCAAGGAGTGTCCCCCCACCCAGCGTCCACAGTGACCGGGACAAGAGGAGGAGGCAGAAAGCCAGAGCAAGTGCCACGGTCTGTGAGTTCAGCTCCCGACGGCTGTTGGGGATGGCAGGGACTCAGGCAGACACGGTACCTAGCAGCACCTGAGCCCTGGAGCTCTGAGGTCTCTTGTCACAGTGGAACGCGATCCCCCGCTGACCGTCGGTCACTGCCCTGCCCTTGCCCTTGCCCTCTGCAATGGCAGCCTCTTCTTTGGCGGAGGAGCTAAGTAGACAGGCTTTGAAAGACAGTGCCGGCTTTCTAGGCAGTTCTCACCTGGCCAGCTGAGGCTCTGGTGAAGTCTACAGCAGCGCTTCCTGAGTGTCCTACCCCCACCATTCCATTCGGGGTGTCCCTCCCCAGATAATCCACCCCATAGGTAAGCCCCACAGGAAGGAAGTGTTGCTCTGGCTGTGTGCCAGGTACCCCATATTAAGTCAGGACAAGGACAGGTGGTGTGGTTCAGCTGGTTAAACTGCACCTACGATGCTGGCGTCCCATACCAGAGTGCTGGCTTGTGTCCCAGCCACCCCGCTTGTGATCCATGTCCCACTAATGTATCCAGGAATGCAGTGGAAGATGGCCCAAGTGTGAGCCCCGGCCACCCATGCAGGGGAGCAGGATGGAGCTCCTGGCTCCTGGCTTCAGTCTGGCCCAGCCCTGACTGCTGCAGCCGTTTGGAGAGAGAACCAGTGGATGTTAAGATCTTTCTGTCCCTCTCTGTTGCTCTGCCTTTCCAATACATAAATCTTTTTTTTTTTAAAGTCAGTACAAAAGTTGTTACGGAAATCATTTTAATGCTAGGAAAATGTTTCACCAGCTGCACAAGGCGGCTGTAGGGTTCGGCCCACGTCCCACAGGCCCAGACCCCACACAACCACAGCCCCATCGTGCCCCGTTCCTGCCCAGGTGGCAACGTGTTTGCCTCTTGGACTCGTCTGTGGTCTCCCTGGCAGCCCCACTGTCTGGGAAGCCCAGAGGCACTGCAACGTGGCTCAACTTTCACCCTTAATTCTGGGATGTGGAGGTACTGTCTCCATTTCACAGGTGTGGGACTGGGGCTCAGCGAGTTCAAGTGACTTGGCCAAGGTCACACAGAGGAAGTGGCAAAGCTGGAGATTTGAACCTGGCTGGTCTGGCTCCAGAGCCCCCTTTTTTTGTGCTTAAAATAGGAACCCAGTCATAAGCAAGGCCAGTGCTCTCTGTTGGTTTACATTCCTTTGGGGAAAAAAGCCATAAAGACAGGCTCTTACAGGAAGTTGGCTTCCAGCTTTTGGTCTGGAAAGCGAGGGCTCTGCGCGCGAGGACAGAGAGCGAAGAGGAGAGCGAGCACCAGCGGGGCACTGGGGGTGACTGCGTTCATCCAGTCCCCTAGTCCCGTCCTCTCCCGACAGAGCTGTGCTTCGGGGTACAGCAGTGCAGATGTGGAGGGGACCAGGGCGAAGGTTCAGTGAAAGGGGAGCAGACCGAGAGGAGCGTAACCTGCCTCGGCCAGGGCCTGGCATCCTGGCCCCAAACTGGGGGGAACCCCTGCCAGCATCGGAGTGGGGGCGGGCTCCGGCCCGGAAGCACAGCCCAGGAGAAGCCCCAGAGAAAGCGTGTCCGTCGGTCTGCCCAAACACGAGCTCTGCTTTGGGGAGCACCGGCCACCACGCGGTGCTGAGAGGTGGCGGCACTGCCGCTCCTGTGGCTGCAGAGCCGCCCGGAGGAGCACTAGCGAGCCCCCGGCCGAGCCCAGGGCCTCGGGCGGGCACCTGGACGTGCACCCCCTTCAGACGGGAAATGGTGCTCTGAGGCTGGTCTGGCAAGGACACAGGACACGGGCCCCCACTCCTCCAGGGCGCCTGTCGGGGGCCGCAGCACTCCGACCCAGGCAGGGTGGGCCACGGGCAGAGTCAGAGGTGAGGCTCAGCTACACGTCGCTGGGGGAACGGAAGAGTTCCAGCCAAGGGCCGTGTGGGAGCCAGGCCCCTGCTGGAGTAGAGCACCCTCGCGTCTAAGACGGCTACTGGTTTTCAGGAAGGCAGGGTGACACAGGGTGACAGGGATCTGAGTCCGCCGGACCCTGGGGTCCGTCCACAGGCCGGCTGCCAGTGGACTCACAGCACCAATAATTCCAGTAAATGCCTGCAGGATGAAACCTGCGAGAAGGTGGTCAGTCCAGGAAGCAGCCCAGAGGCAGCTCGCACCCTGGACTTGCCAGCCAGCGCGGGCCCCCACTGCTGCCATCTCGCCCGCCAGCACAGGACAGAGGCCTGAGGCAGCAAGATGAGGAGGTCACCTCAGGGGCGTGGCCAGGGCCCTCAGGCGGGCTCCGCCACGGGCATGGCCCCCTCTGCCGATCCCCAGAGCTCGTCTGTTCTTTCCTGGCTAACCTCTTGCCAGCCCACGAAGGCGGCAGAAGGGGGAAAGAAGTCACACAGGACAGCCTGCCAACGTCCGCTCTGCGCAGCTCCGCTCAGCTCGGCTGCGTGAGCGGCTGCGGGTGCTGCACCCAGCTGAGCACCCGGACTCTACTATCAGGATTTGTTGGAGAGCTGCGGCGTCCGGGGCCAGCCCCTCCTCTTGCTCCAGCCTTTGTCTAGGCAGTTCCAGCCCTGAGAAAGGAAGTGGGGACCCCAGCAACTTGAACTTCATGCTCAAGACCCCTTTCTGAACTTTGGCATAAAAGCTTAAGAGACGGTGGGGAAACTCGCCCGTCATAAGCGTGTGGAACTACGAGGAAGCTCTCCTAACGAAGCTGACCTCAACAGGCCGCACTCGGCTCAGCCGTCCACCAGGGCCAGCCCGGCAACTCTCCCTGTTGACCTGGTGGTCTCATGAAGCCAGACGGTGGCCCCCGAGCCTTTTCTCCCCTATGCACGGACCCTGCCCCTGGGGAGCAGAAACCAGAGATCCTTAGTTGTATGCCCTAGGAGGTCAGTTCTGGCAGGAGCCTCCTGAGGAAGAAACAGGTGCCCAGAGGGCGGGTGACCTGTCCAGGGTGTCACAGGGAGCTGGGGTGTGTAGCCAGGGGCCCTGGCTTCCTGGTCCACGGTAAGAAGGCATTGGATCCTCCGTCAAAATAAATACTAAAAACAGCACCAAGTACCACTGTCCGCAGCGGGTAGGCCTCCGTCCCCGTGGCTCTGCCAAAAGGCTGTACGTTTTCTTGCTACAGTCTAAATCGCTTAAACAAATTGAAAAGCCGGAATGTTCCACACAGAATGCAGTCCCGTTAGGTGGCAGGTGCCACTGCATGGCCTAAATAATCAATGTTTATCGGCTGCGTAAAGGATGTTGTAGTGGGATGTTTTATAGAGCAGGTAAACGGAGGGGGCGGCAGCCTCGGGGAACACGTGGTGGTTCAGGGCCGTGTCCATCTCGTCCACGTACTCCACCTGCAGGGCGATGTTCAGCGCCTGGGACAGGGCTGTGATCTGGATGTGGTCACACTCCATGGCCATGGGCTCCACTTCCTGTAAGGCCAAAGTGAACAGACAAGCCAGCTCAGGAGGGAGACCTGGTGGATGGCCCGTGAGCTCGACCCTGGCCCCCAGGTCACGGTCGCAGCCTCTGCGCTGGGAAGCTGCCTCCCCACAGCCCAGGAGGCAGCTGAGCCGACATCGTCATCTCAGGGCGGAAACACAGGTGCACGCAGAGCAGGCAGCACAGCTGGAAATCACCAGAAATGCAAGACTTGCACCTGGCTCTCTTAATTGCAGACAGACCCTCTACTGGTGCCTGAGAAGGGGTCACTAACCTTGGAGGCTCTAAAAGGGAGCAAGGGGTTTTTCCAAGACTCTCAGGGCTAACAGGGACCCTGTGAGATTCCAAGCTCACTGCTTCTAGAAGCCAGGCCGGTGAGTGAGCCAGGGGATGAGTAGGGGGTGGGCGGGTGGATGGTGGGCGAGTCCAGATGCTGAAGGGTGATTGTCCAGTCTTTAAATACTGGCGACTCTTTCAGATAAATAGGAATAAGAAAGGAAAGCCTCTTTTTTTTTTTTTTTCCTGCCAAGGACTATTTGGATATTTTGCAACACCCTTCTCGGGCCACTCATACAAAATGACCAACTACAGCCGGCGACAGCTCACTGGATTTCAAGCTTCTCCCGCCGTTGCCTCGGCAGAACGGATTCTGCAGGCCTGGTGCAGCCCGTGGCCCAGACGGCCCCACCCAGCTACACAAAGACACAGGCTCGGGCTGCTGCCGAGCAGTTTTGAAAACCAGTCCACGAAGGGCCAGCCCAAGCCCCTAATTTTCAGCGGGGCCGCCTGAGGCCTGGAGAGGGCCGAGCGTCGGGAGCGTGCTGTCTGCCCTGGTGGAGCCTGACCCGCAGCCGTGATACCCACATCCATGGTTAGGGACCCGCGGGGGGATGAAGTCCGTAAGAGACAGAGCCCCGAGCAGGGCCCAGGGCCAGGGGCCGCGTCCCCCAGGCCTGCGGCGCGAGCACCTACGTGAGTGCAGAAATCTTTGATGTCCATCTCGTCGTCGATGAAGTGGCGGAAGAAGTCGGCGCGGTTCCTGATGAAGGCGGACGTGAGCAGGCGCAGGAACTGCACGATGCGGTCCGAGGTGCCCTGGTCGTTGAACACCTTCAGCAGGCTGGACACGGAGCCGTCTTTCTCCACCAGCTCCACCACGCTGTGGAACTGCGCCCAGCCGCCATCAGCCGGGGCGAGGGCGGGCAAGACCCCCCCCGGCCCCCTCCGAATCAGCCTGAGACTCTGCCGAAGCCCAGGGACCGGGCTCGGGACCTCAGCCCGGAGGCACAGCCGGGGCCAGCGGCTGGGTCTCCCTCCACTGGTGTCTGGGGCAGGACGCCCTGCCACTAACCGGACAGGAAGTCAGTGGGGAGAGGGAGGCAGCTGAGGGCCTCTGGCCAGGGCCTGCTCCCTCTGCACTGCCAGCGGGCCCAGGCCAACTCACGGCGTTGAAGAAGTTCCGGAACTTGTGCTCCTCAAAGCCAGCAGCCAGCAGGTCATTTGGGGTCTGCAGGACACGTTCCTTGAACCTAAAGGACAGGAGACCGATGCTCACGGGGGCCACGGGGAGGCGCTGTGGCTCACACTCAGTAGGACTTTGTCACCAGCAGGACGGGGGCTGTGCTGACTGCTCTGTCTCCCTCCCAGGAGGGACCCTGGAGGTGGCTGGCCACCCCATGTCACAGATGAGGACTTGAGGCCATCACCCCTCACTCTCTCCTCCCCCAGACATGTCCCTTGATCCATGCCGCCTTCCTGGCCCCATGGTCCCTGCCTTCTCATCACCGTCTCCAACTGGGACCTCTGGAGAGGCCGACGCAGCCTGCTTCTCCATACCACATCAGCGTCAGGACACGGCCGTTTCCAAAGAGGTCCAGGGAGGGCCCCCACCCGTGCACCAGCCTCACCCCCGCAGCCACTCCCCATTCGTGCATCACCTGTCCAGACCTGCCGCTCCCCCTGCCCACACTTAGGGTGTGCCGGCTCTGCTGTGTCCACTGGGAGAGCCCAGCCACTGTTACATCTTTAAGAAGTTTTGCCAGGGGCTGGCGCTGTGGCGTAAAAGGTTAAGCCTCTGCCTGCAGTGTCGGCATCCCATATGGGCACCAGTCCCAGCTACTCCACTTCCGATCCAGCTCTCTGCTATGACCTGGGAAAGCAGTGGAAGATGACAGAAGTCCTTGGGCCCTGCACCCGCGTGGGAAACCCGGAGGAAGCTCCTGGCTCCTGGCTTCGGATCAGCTCAGCTCTGGCCATTGCGGCCATTTAGGGAGTGAACCTGCAGATGTAAGACCTCGCTCTCTCTCTCTGTTACTATGTCTTTCAAATAAATACATAAATAAATCTATCTTTTAAAAAATTGCCTCCATGGGACGAAGGCTCCAGACAGAGCCGCCTTCTGTGCCGTTACCCTCAGATCCAGCCCAGCTGGGTTACACGCACTCAGCACCTGGGAGGGCAGGAATTACTCCAAACAGCAGGGGAAGCCTTTTTGCTTGCTGTGTTGTCTTTGGAGTGAGTCAGCAAGCGCCAGGCAGGCGCGGTGCATCTCGCCTGGGTCGACCCAGACTCTGCGTGAAGCTGGGGGGTGGGGGGTGGCAGAGGACCTGGGAGGTCGCGATTCTGCCCCCAGCTCCACCAGGGTGGGCAGCTGGGCTTCCCTAACATCAGACACTTCTGCTGGGAAGCCCTCCAGCTCACCGCCTGGGTAACCCCAGCAGAGAACACAGCCTCGAGGACCTGCCCCACTCACCTGAGGATCTCCCTGCCCTTGCCCAGCAGGGACTCCAGGTAGGAGTAGCCCAAGGCCCGGTAGAAGCAGTTGCCATCCCCTTTGGTCTTGCGGATCGCCGTGAACCGTTTGCTGAGTTCCTGGGGGAGAAGGACACAGGGACATCGCAGCAACTGGGCACACGGGCACCCTGGGTACACGGACATCCTGGGTACACGGGCACCCTGAGCACTCGGGCATCCTGGGTACACGGGCACCCTGGGAACACGGGCACCCTGGGTACACGGGCACCCTGGGAACACGGGCATCCTGGGAACACGGGCACCCTGGGTACACGGGCACCCTGAGCACACAGGCACCCTGGGTACACGGGCACCCTGGGAACACGGGCATCCTGGGAACACGGGCACCCTGGGCACTCGGCACCCTGGGCACTCGGCACCCTGGGCACTCGGGCATCCTGGGTACACGGGCACCCTGGGCACATGGCACCCTGGGTACACGGCACCCTGAGCACTCAGGCACCCTGGGAACACAGGCATCCTGGGTACACGGGGACCCTGGGTACACGGGCACCCTGAGCACACAGGCACCCTGGGTACATGGGCACCCTGGGAACACAGGCATCCTGGGTACACGGCACCCTGAGCACTCGGGCACCCTGGGTACATGGGCACCCTGGGTACACGCCACACTGGGCACTCGGGCACCCTGGGTACACGGGCACCCTGGGCACACAGGCACCCTGGGTACATGGGCACCCTGGGAACACAGGCATCCTGGGTACACGGGCACCCTGGGCAAACCAGGCACCCTGGTTACATGGGAACTCTGGGTACACAGGCACCCAGGGAACAGGGGCATCCTGGGTACATGGGCACCATGGGCACACAGACATCCTGGATACACAGGCACCCTGGGTACACGGGCACCCTGGGCAAACCAGGCACCCTGGTTACATGGGAACTCTGGGTACACAGGCACCCAGGGAACAGGGGCATCCTGGGTACATGGGCACCATGGGCACACAGACACCCTGGTTGCACAGGTACCCTGGGCACACGGCACCCTGAGCACTCGGGCACCCTGGGCACTCGGGCACCCTGGGCACTCGGGCACCCTGGGTACACAGGCACCCTGGGCACACAGGCATCCTGGGCACATGGCACCCTGGGCACTCTGGGTACATGGGAACTCTGGGTACATGGACACCCTGGGTACACAGGCACCCTGGGCACATGCACCCTGGGTAGATGGGCACCCTGGGTACACAGGCATCCTGGGTACATGGACACCCTGGGCAAACCGGGCACCCTGGGTACATGGGAACTCTGGGCACACGGGCATCCTGGGCACAGCATCCCGGGCAGCCCTCCAAAGGCTCCCACCAGGCCTGGCCTCCTCACGCTGCCCCTCCCTCTGAAGTGGCCTGCAGTCCCCCTTTCTGCCTGTGGGGCTACAGTGAGGGTC